TCTAGAATGAAGTCTTCTCTGACCCCCTTGAAACTGGATCTCTCATTACTGCCTGCACCTTGTTTTAAAAGGTAACAGAACTGTATAAACGTATGTCTATGTAATTGTCTAGCTTATTGTCCCTTTGAAGGCAGAAACCCCTTCGTAGTTATATTTCACCCAACATTGTAATTTCAGTACCCTACATAATTCTTGCCAGTCAGTGGTTATTTTAAAAAGATAAAAATAAAGCTATACTTTTTAAACTGCCAGTATAGTCTTCTTTATTCCTCTTATGTGCATGGAAAATATCTATTGCCTATTAACATAAGAAAACTGTTAAGGCTTAGCAGTCCTGATGTATCATTTCTACCTGCCTTTAAGCCCTGCTAAATTTGCAAATTGGATTACATGGAACTTGCTTTTATGTAATCATCACTTGTCAACCTAAAAAAGGTGAAGGTCAATAATATGACATTTTGCTTTGAAAAATGCTTCCCAAAGGAGATCACTGATGCCTTTTCCTTTATAAATATAATTCCTTGGTGTTTGACTTTATTTTTTGTTAAGAAGTCATAAAACTAAAAATTAATTATATGCATATACATAAAAGTAAATATGATTTAAAACTACTGTGGTGATTATGATCTCAGCTAAGAAGGAAACTGCCATCTGGAGAAATGATTTTCACACTCTGATGACTGAAGTGGCCTCAAATCACCAAGTGTGACATACCTCCTTCACTTCTTTTCTAATTAAATGCAATTTGCTTTGAAGGAGTTTTGAACTAAAAATATAATTCTACTGATACAATCCAAGTAAAATATAGTCTGACAGATGGAGGAAGAATAGAAGGTAATTTTAATATCCCCCATTCAAAATATAGGGTGACCAGCCAAAGACATGGCTGGGTAATCATTAGTTCTTATTTTAAATGCTGAGTTTTCCTTGGTTTCCACTTCTGTCAAAATTGTACTTTGAAATTTCTACCTTACTTACTTTTTTTAAAAAAAGAAAAATAGTAATCTTCACTTTTCCAGTGAACAAATGTGACTTCCTCCCCTAAGGCTGCACACATGGAAAATAAAATCATTTTATTTATTTATTTTTCTTTATGAGCATTACTGGTGGCATGGCCAACCACTTGGGAAGGTGTTTATCAACTGAGCACAGCAAATATCCCACAGCAGTTACAGCAGAGTCAAGTTTGTTCATGATAACAACTTCAAGATACATACAAAATTTTATATATATATATATATATACACATATATACATATATATATGTATATGTCATATATCAATTAATTTTCTCCCTGAACTATAGTACCCTCTATTTTACTCAACATAAAGTAGCACCCATATGAGTGACTCATAACTTATTTTGAGATACATGTAAAGGCTAGAATAGGTCCCATGTTCAGTTTCATTCTCCCTGTCATATTATACATGAATCACCATGTGGAAATAGAATGTCCCATACCTTGCTAGATTATACTTTTTCTTTTTTTGTTTCTCAATGTGGTTTATTAATAGGGTGATCACATAATGTATTGTACAAACTGGGACAATTCTGAAACTAAAGGAGGTGCTATTAATAGTTACACCAGGACAACCTGACTGTTCCAGGCAAGCAGAGAGATGTCCCCCCAAATATAGGGCCCTCTTGCCTAGTCTTCCTCGTCTTCAGTGCTGGTTGCTCTGCGTGGAGCACAAGCTCAGGCGTAAGAGATTTCTTCAGTAGGCTTTGGGGTATCGTTGGATTTTTTAGCTGAGGATAAGGAACTAGCTACAATAATAGCTTCTCACGTTTGATCAGTAGTTTATATTGTACAAAGTACATTTATATATGTGTGTGCTAAAATGAATTGTATGGTCTTTGAATTGATTGAGGGAAATATATTAGGTGTTAGAGGACATTC